ATTTGAGGGTGTTTTCCTCCCATTGCTTCAAGAAAAGATTGAAATACCTACTTAAAAGTGTCCACTGCCTCATCATGCAGGAAAGCACATCCGAAAAGCCAACTTTGTCCATGTCCTATGATTCCAACAAATGGTGCAAAAGGTAAGTTGTATCAGTTGGTCATATATATCGTGTCAAAACTTACACATTCTCCATAATCTGCATAATATTTCATAGAAGAACAGTCTGTCCAGAACAAGTTTCTCACTCTCTTGTCCTCATCTAAATCAAACTTGTAAAAGAAAGACGGATCCTCAATTTGTTTCTTTTTGAAATAATCTAGTACTTGTGTCATATCTGATCCTTTAACTTCTCTATCCAGCTTTGTCATGTAGTTGCTGATATCTTTCTTTTTCATCGGTAGAGCTATAAGCCTCCCTCTTAGATACGATAGAATAAAAACTATCTTTCTAGTCGGGATATTGTTATCGTTCAGAGTCTTGATAAGTCCTTTTTTTCATTTTTATCATATATTTGTGACCAGAAAATAGCTTATCCCTATCTCCAGGGCATACCTCATGATTATGCTCCAAATCAAGAGTCTTAATCTTTCATAGACCTCCTTCTTTCACCATCATAACACAAGGACAATCTTACTTCTGCTGAATATTTGTTTTCCTTCTCCTTACTGGTTTCTTTTCAACATCCTTGTCTACTTCAATTTTTCTTGCTCTAAAAACTTTGATTCCTTTTCTTTTCCTTGACGAGTGCATCTCATTGTCACTTTGACTACCTCATTATTTCTCTTCTTACTTTGAGTTCTTGTCGTATGTGTTATGGCAACTTGAAATCTGGCTAGAAACGCATATAAGTTGAAGAAATGGTGAGCATCATCCCTAGTCTTAAATTCCATCGATAGCTGTGGGGTGTACTTGCTGTTGATTGGTGCATTGTTGCCTTCAGATGCTACAACCTGCTCATTTTTTATGAATTCTTCAATCTCTTCCTCCGTCAGTTCCTGGCTGCCATTTACATGCTCATTATCATGTTATAGCTGATGTAATATCTGAACTTGTTAGTTCTGTTGCAATGATCCTCAAGTCATTTTCTCCCATTGTTGGTTAATCATCTTGATTTTCATGCTGCACCTTTCAATATATTAGCAGCAATCTTAGTTTCTGAGTAATGTCATTTATAATACAAATAATTTTTTTAGTGTAGACTGAAATAGTTGAAGAGATCATTTTTTATGTACCTCATCAATGTCCATGTTATTGAATACATCAGTTTGCTAATGGTATTGTTGAATTTCAGATCTATCATCATCAGCTATGCTTGTTGTTGGTCCATCATCATCAACGATGATTGCCATTTCTCAATCCTATTTTTGTAAAGATAAGTTTTACTTTGATGCCAGTACATATTTGTATTGCTTATAAATGTAATCAAATTGGCTTAGCCGTCTGTATCTACCTCATATGACAACCTTGACTATGATATTGACCAGTCAGTTTATGGTCCAAAGATTCCATCTAGATCTTCAAGTCTCATATTCGATTTTATTTGTCTGATAATAAGAATGGTTACCATTTATTATATAATACAACTAGTTTGACAAGCATATATAATATAGTTTTACCTCATTCCTATCATTTCCAAATATCATCTTTGTTAATGATCCTTGCATCTCTTTATGTTGCTGCACAGTTTATAATGAAGCATTGAAATTAAAGTATTGTTATGCTGAAATTACATTGCACATATGTGTGTAATTTGCATATGTCTGAATTATAATTTTTATATACTGGTATTATAAATTTTACGTGCATATTCCAGTCAGTCTAATTATCTTCCTGAGAGTTCCTGATCTATTCCATCATAAGTTCAGTGTAGCATCCCTACATGGAAATATATTTTAGTCGAAAAACAACCTTCTTATGTTGGCATTTTTTTATTCTAAGCAATGATTTTGCTCATATTTTTGTATCTGTAGGTATTTGAAAGGTCACTATAACAATTTGTGCGTGTAAATATTTGGTAAGGAGCTGACTGTACTTCCTTAATTGCTTCTTGTGAGTTCATTGATGTTGGATAATCATCACATCTACTTGTTGTGACATACATATTATTCTGCTTTATAAATAAACAAGCAGCTGAGTACTTATATAGCTTTTTATTAGATTTTTCTTTTTTATTGCATCATTGAATTGTGTTTCTTACCTCAAGTAGTTGATCAAATTCGACTGGTGCTTGTATTAGTTGCATAAGGAAAGCAATTGAAACCCGCAAGAAAATGAAAAATCCATAAGTTCTTATTTATTTATTGTTTGTGTCAACTGTTTTAAATTAGGAGTAATTTTACATCATTGTTTTTTTCTTCTTGACGAATCATTTCCTCATAATTCTGAATCTGATATTGTGCCTCTGACATTTCCTGCTGCTTTGTTTTTCTTTCTAGATTCATGTTCTGTTATAACATCCATATTTCATGTTTTGACAGTTAGAAGGTTTCTCGTCATTACATATTCCATGCATCTAACACACATAAGGAGATTGAATTCAAATGATCGATGTACTAACATTGGCTGTTGAGGTTTGTGGTTCCTCTTCGATCTGATCTCTGCCCTTTTGCCCTGCTTTGCGTGTACAAGTTACATGAGCCGGATCTTTAAATTGTATACATGTACAGTATAATTGCATTAGCAGCAAGTACAAGTTGCACTATGTCAAATGTGCAATTTCCTTTTACAATAGAAATATAGCATGCATAATAGATATATTTATAATTTTAGTTGAGGATTGCTGAGTGGTGTGGCTGTAGAATTACTTTTAGAAAATTAGCCCACAAAATTCGATTTGTGCACGTGTCTGTGTGATTTCCGCTGGCTACATATGTGTGTGATCTCATGCTCTATATTTTTTGCACTATGCTCTCTGTGTTTCTAACCTTTTAAACAACATCACAACCTTCAAGTGCTGGATCTGCTCCTTGTGCACAGTGAGCAACTAGGGCTAAGCCCTGCTGTTGTAGCAAGCATAAGCAGGAGGTCATCTTTGTCATCCTAAATGTCTTTTTCATGGATCTACATTCTCCTAATCTTTGATCTGAGTTGCTATTATTTTTGTTGCTTTTTCAGAAAGTAGATTCAAAAGATTGAAATACTAACCTTTGCTGGTGAGGTATGGATCAGTCTTGTAGTGCTTTTTCTTGAAATTTTATGTTCTTCTTTGCAATCTGTTGTCTGTCCCTTTCCCCTGCTCTGCGTGAGCAGAGCAGAGGTTTTCCCCACGCAGCAGATCTGTTTTTACTTTGCTTCTCTCCCAAGTCTATCTGTTATATTCCTATGTATTCATGGTTTTGGGCTTCTCTTATGGGCTGCTGATGTTTAATGAGTTATTTTGTCATTTTAGTTAATAGACTCTTCAGTTGCACAGAAATTACAACAGATGGGCCTTCTTTAAAATTTCATTGTTTTAGAGGCAGCCAATAAACATGTGCTAGCCTATTTTAAAACACACAGTTTCTTCTCTATTGGAAATCATGTGTTATACAGGTAACCAACAACCATGTGTTAGCTTGTGCTAAAACACATAGTTTTTCCTCTGTTACAAATCATGTGTTTTGCAGCCAGTAAACAGCCATGTGCTACATTTTACTGAAACACATGATTGTTAGATAGACTCTTTTCTCTTACGATAAACAAGTACTAGTCGGGCTTATTAACCAAAAACTAATCAGCGAACAAGCTCTGCTTAGCCGGAATCAATTATCGTCGTTGAAATTTCCTCCCCACAATAAAAATTATGCAAGGCGGATTCATCGAATCTTTCCTACCATCTAAACTTACGTCTCCGCCTCTCCGGATACATTAATCTATATGCAAGGTGCTCAGAATAATGGCGTTGTTTGCATCATCACCAGCGACAAAAAGAAACACACCGCGAATGGTAGCGTGCAACTGTGCATCATCGCATCTCGCAGCAAAGCGCACGGCTGGCCATTGGTGAATCCGGTGGGGCCCGTCAACCTCGCCCCACCAGCCGATGTAGCGGGCCTACCCAGAGAGCCTCACCCTACCGTCGGACGTAGATCCGATGGCCAGGACCATGGCTGACGCGGGCTCGGGGCCCACGCTGACTCGGCCGCGCTGCATCCCGAACGGATAAGCTTCCTCCCGCGCACGGAGCTCGCCGAACCGGCACCCGCCGCGTGTCCATGGAGCGCTCCCGCCCGGTCGCGGACGCGAGGTCCCGGAGCCGCGCGCCCCGCCTATAAAATGGCACCCATCCTCCCCTGGTTCCCGCATCCCAGCAGCACGAGCACTCCCCGTCTCGTCTCATCTCCCTCCCACAAAAAGCTGCTCGCGTTTCTCCCCTTCCCCTATCCGTCGGCATCATGTGTGGCATCTTAGCCGTGCTCGGTTGCTCCGACTGGTCTCAGGCCAGGAGGGCTCGCATCCTCGCCTGCTCCAGAAGGCAAGCACCCGTCCATTGCACTCTGCAGTCCGCCACCCAACACTCTATACTAGCATTTTAGTGTCAGTTCCTCCAGCCAGCGAGGGGTCTTGCTTGATTCTTGATGTGTTTGTTAGAAATCGTTCTTGAAATTGCCGGAAAGAGGTAGCCAATCTTGGGAATCAAGGACTGGTAACTGGTTCACTGGTTGGTGTCGTTTTTGTCTCTTTACCGGGGCCCGGGGGGCTCTTCTCATATAGGAATCATAAAGAATCGAACGGTAGAGACTAGGATGGTCCGTTCTGAAAAGGATCAGCATGGGAATCTTCGTCGTCGTTCTAGTAACCCCGTGTGTTGTGTTAGTGATTAGAATATTTGTCCTGTTGGCTTGGCTGATAAATCATGGCTGAAAGTACCGTTGTCTGATTTGTTGGGAGAGAAAAATACCGTTTGTTGACTAAAAAAATATGGCTTATAAGCCAAACGAACAGGGTGATTAGGGTGATTGTTGCTCCGATGAGTTGGATTAGTTGAGTTTTGACTGGCGAACCTGATGATCGATCCCATGTGCAGGCTGAAGCACAGGGGCCCCGACTGGTCGGGCCTCTACCAGCACGAGAGCAACTTCCTGGCGCAGCAGCGGCTCGCCATCGTCTCCCCCCTGTCCGGCGACCAGCCGCTGTTCAACGAGGACCGCACCGTCGTGCTGGTGGTAAGATGCACAGCATGCTGAGCGCGATCAGCAGCGCAAACAGCACAAATGGAATTCAAGCGTCTTGTTTTGACGGCCCCTATGCTGTAGTTCCTCAACATGCGCTTTGTTGCTTTTATTTTCAGGCCAATGGAGAGATCTACAACCACAAGAATATCCGGAAGCAGTTCACCGGCACGCACAACTTCAGCACGGGCAGTGACTGCGAGGTCATCATTCCCCTGGTGAGACCGATCGTTTCAGTTCTGCCAATCAAATTTGGTCTTCTCCATGTTCTCCTACACATGAAAGAACAAACGCTGCACGACTGCAAGTAGTTGATGCCAACCTTCTCTGTTTGTTGTCGTCGGCGCGGCGTCGTCTCTAGTACGAGAAGTACGGCGAGAACTTCGTCGACATGCTGGACGGAGTCTTCGCGTTCGTGCTCTACGACACCCGCGACCGGACCTACGTGGCGGCACGCGACGCCATCGGCGTCGACCCGCTCTACATCGGCTGGGGAAGCGACGGTACGATCTCTCTAGCAGAGAAGGTTCAGACAGAGCGTGGCATTCTCGCAGTGCGGTCGCTAAGCATGAGGTGCAAATTTCAGACACGCTAGCTGACCGATCGATTTTCGCCTCGCCTTCCTTCACCCCAGGTTCCGTCTGGATCTCATCCGAGATGAAGGCGCTGAACGAGGACTGCGTGCGGTTCGAGATCTTCCCGCCGGGCCACCTCTACTCCAGCGCCGCCGGCGGGTTCAGGCGGTGGTACACCCCGCACTGGTTCCAGGAGCAGGTGCCCCGGACGGCGCCGTACCAGCCGCTCGTCCTCAGAGAGGCCTTCGAGAAGGTGTGTGTCACCTTGCACACGACAGCTTAACTTGTTGGATCGGTGGTAAGCAAGTAAGACGGCCGTTACAGACACTGACATGGCCATGTGGCCGTGCGCTGCAGGCGGTTATCAAGAGGCTCATGACGGACGTCCCGTTCGGGGTCCTCCTATCCGGCGGGCTCGACTCCTCCCTCGTCGCCTCCGTGACCAAGCGCCACCTCCTCAAGACCGAGGCCGCCGAAAAGTTCGGCACGGAGCTCCACTCCTTTGTCGTCGGCCTCGAGGTTTTTTTTCGTTTTTTGCCCTGATGATGCGCATGTTTTCGTCTCGAAATCGCGCGGGACGCTGACGTTTTTTGCCTGCCTCTCGCCCGCCGGCACGTACGTTTCAGGGCTCCCCTGACCTCAAGGCCGCACGAGAGGTCGCCGACTACCTCGGAACCATCCACCACGAGTTCCATTTCACCGTACAGGTAAAATCGCTTTTGGCCGTGAACTTGATCTATCATGACGCACGCTGGCGGTGACGAGTGGCAAATAAATCGACCATTTTTTTTTGTTTGCCATAGGACGGCATCGACGCGATCGAGGAGGTGATCTACCACGACGAGACCTACGACGTGACGACGATCCGGGCCAGCACGCCCATGTTCCTGATGGCTCGCAAGATCAAGTCGCTGGGGGTGAAGATGGTGCTGTCCGGGGAGGGGTCCGACGAGCTGCTGGGCGGATACCTCTACTTCCACTTCGCTCCTAACAAGGAGGAGTTCCACAAGGAGACCTGCCGCAAGGTAGTACCCCCATCAGCCATCACCTTGGCATGCACGCGCTTGTCGGTTTCGGTTGGATTCGAAGGGGAAAGCGGTTCTGATCCCGTCGTGATCCTCCGCTCCGTCCGCAGGTGAAAGCCCTGCACCAGTACGACTGCCTGCGTGCCAACAAGGCGACGTCGGCGTGGGGCCTGGAGGTCCGCGTGCCCTTCCTAGACAAGGAGTTCATCAACGTTGCTATGGGCATGGACCCCGAGTGGAAAATGGTACTGAAATGTTTGTTTCGACCCTGCCGCCGTCATGATCTCACTGTCTCAGGGGGCGGAAATGACTGTCCCCAGCTCTGTTTCTGTTGTTCTTGGCCGGTTTTCTGATGATTTCTTTCTTGCTCTTGTTGCTGAAACCTTCATCTTCAGTACGACAAGAACCTGGGCCGCATCGAGAAGTGGGTCATGAGGAAGGCGTTCGACGACGAGGAGCACCCTTACCTGCCCAAGGTAAAAACATCTCCAGAGATGCTGGTAGTTTTACCTCTCTGTTTTCAAGCCTGAACTAACACTTGTGGCATGCCTGCCGGCAATGCATCCGCAGCATATTCTCTACAGGCAGAAAGAACAATTCAGTGACGGCGTTGGCTACAACTGGATCGATGGCCTCAAAGCCTTCACTGAACAGCAGGTGATTTATATATGACCACTTCAGCTCCTAGACATCATCGAGATTGGCCATCCATCTAGCTAACCAGCACTAACGTGCGTTCCTCAATGTTCAGGTCACGGATGAGATGATGAACAACGCTGCCCAGATGTTCCCGTACAACACGCCCGTCAACAAGGAGGCCTACTACTACCGGATGATATTCGAGAGGCTCTTCCCTCAGGTGATTCGATCAGCCTGACGCCGACGGTGTTTTGCACCCGTGTGCTTAGTCAATTCAATTCGGGGACGGTTTGCTGAATTGTGATGCCTTTCAGGACTCGGCGAGGGAGACGGTGCCGTGGGGCCCCAGCATCGCCTGCAGCACGCCCGCGGCCGTCGAGTGGGTGGAGCAGTGGAAGGCCTCCAACGACCCTTCCGGCCGGTTCATCTCCTCCCACGACTCCGCCACCGACCACACCGGCGGTAAGCTGGCGGTGGCCAACGACGGGCACGGCGCCGCGAACGGCACGGTCAACGGCTCCAACGACGTCGCTGTCGCGATCGCGGTGTAATAAACTGGCGGAGGATAAGAACGAACGACTGGTAGGTGTGTCGTGTGTGTGTGTGTGGCGTGCCCACCGGCCATATCCCCGGTGTGGCAGCACGTGCTATTGTTACGTGTTGTATGTACTGTCACCAGCGTACGTGTCCGTGTCCGTGTCTGTATGTCTCCATCATATCTGTACGTTTTCAGGAAAAAAGAAGAAGGTATGTCCGTGTATGTGATGTTTGAACTCGATCTCTGAATTGAACTACGGATCAATCTAAAATTATTCCCTGGATGGATTTCGATATATGTCCCTGTCTGTTCTCGCTGTCAAGACAAGCTGATGATGGAACCAAACCTACTACAAGTGCGCGTAGAGGATCTGGTTCCATGTGTCCGGCACGCCGGGCACGCACCAGTGGATGCAGTCCGTGTACGTCTGCGGGTCGGCCCTCTGCGCGTCGGTGAGCAGCTCGCCGCCGGTCTCGGTGTAGACGGAGACGTGGGCGTCCACGCGGTGCTCCGTGAGCTGCGTCACGTTGAGCAGCGTGACGGGCACCCGCATCCGGCCCAGCACGTCGGACATCACCTCCATCATCCGCCGGTCCGCGCCGCTGCCCCAGTACCCCTTCCGCGTGATGGGCCACGTCTCGTTGTAGCACCGGATGCCGCCCTCCCGGCCCCAGTCCTCGCTCCTGATGAAAAGTGTTTTTTCAACAAGCCGTGCATGGTGATCCGTAGGATCAGGAAATGACAGTACTATTTCATTGATTCAGTTGCTGGAGAACTGCTGCGTTGCTACCTCATGTGCGTGGTGGAGATCGACATGAAGAAGACCCTTGTGGCATTGGGATCGATGTTGGCGTCCACCCAGTTGGCCCATGTCTTGAGGCCCAGCCGGAACGCGACCCAGGCGTCCAGCTCCTCGTACCCATCGTCCCCGAACGAGCCCCACCTGAAAGTGCATCGCATATTCGCATTGCATCAGACATCGGAGCAAAACGGGACATTGACCCGGTTCATCACTCACACTGTCTTGATCCTGCTGCCGGTCATCCACCAGACGTAGCTGTCGAAGACGAGGATGTCCACGCCCTTCCAGTGCTTAGCGTGCAGCTCGACGGCGTCGACGTGCAGCACGCGGCCGTCGGCCCCCAGCCGGATGTTCCGGTCGGAGTTGGCCTCCACCAGGTACGGCGCCCAGTAGAACTCGATCGTCGCGTTGTACTCCTGCAACAGCAAAAGGCCGGGTCGTCCCGCGTTAAGCTCTTATTGCGCGCACCGCCAGTGGTGGGCGGTCTGTCCATTGCGTACGTGCTTACCGTGGCGGTGAAGACGGAGAGGGTGGTGCTGCGCTCCATGGACCGGGCGGTGTAGTGCACGGCGGAGTTGACGAGGCAGACGAAGGAGAGCCACTGGCCCATCTGCAGCGAGTCGCCCACGAACATCATCCGCTTCCCCCGCAGCTTCTCCAGCACCGCCGTCGGGTCAAACCTGCGGATACGAACGCATAGCTTCGGCCCATGGATTAGCAGTTTGGTCTGATGAACAGACCGCTAAATTCTTCCCCATAAAATGCTTCCTCACTTATATGGCCCTTGTAGAGAAAGATGAATTTTGTCCACTTTTCAGTCAACACAAAAGAATACGTTTTTTTTTTACTCAGTTAGCGTCTTCCTAAATTTTTTGGGGTCAACGTTACTTATTTTAGATAATGACACGATCAACATTACCAGAGAGGTGATACACTGATATAGTATCATTTTCCTTTTTCTTTTCTGAAATAAATAACTTTTTAAAGTTTAAATTTATTTTAAACAATAATATTCTATAAAAATAGTACAAGAACAATATGACGATATATCACCTCATTCCTTGAACTGACAGAAAACTGAGTACACGAGCGGTAGTAGCTGACCTTGGGAGACTGCAGTCGTCTAGATGCCAATCCCAGTACAGGTAGTCACTGTCCGGCCTGCCGTTCCTCTGGCAAGAGTCCTGCCTGTCGATGAACGGGCAAGTTTGGTCCGTGTAAAGCAGCTTCCTGGACCTGTTGTACGCCCAGTACCCCTCCGTCACGCTGCACCGGCTCGGGTCGAACGCTGTCTTCGCCGCCGCCGCCGGCTGCTGCTGCGGCGGCGGCATCACCTTTGTTTCGCCCGGCCGCGTTAGCATCGCCCTCGTCCCGGCATGTAGAGACGTCGTCCTCTTCTGCTCCTTCTCTTTCCCCTTCTTCTTCTCCATGATCTCTAAAGAGAGCATGGGACACCAGATGACCAGGCCATTCCAACAAGTTCAAACGCTTACGAGGTGGTAACACAGAGATGACGCTAAAGCATCAAGCATGCACAGGCTCAAGTGCATACGTGCTGTGCAATGAAGTTCAGTAGGTATAGCAATAGAAGCATGTACCAGTGAGTGAGCGGAGGTCCTCGGTGAAGATGATGCCCGCCAGAGCCAGCCCGCCGATGATTGCCACCACCACTGACAGCGGGGCCCGCCCCTTCACCCGCTTCATCGCTGCTATCTGAACCATGAGCTCAGCTGCTACGTGGACGCTGGCATTCAGCGATGCTTGTTGCAGGCTGCAGGGTGGCTGGAGTGACGAGTGAGATGGCAGCTGCTCCTGTGTTTTTAGTATTGGTGGTAGTGCTTTCAGTTGCAGAGATCATATAATTAAGTTGGGAATCATAGGACTGCATTGCGGGGCCAGGGTAGATGCATTTGGCACCTGAATTTAACTGTTTGCTGTACTGAACTCGAGTAGGAGTGAAGCAAAAGCAACGTTTAGGAGCTGCCTGAGACAACCAACCTGGGCATCTTCCTTCACTCTCTGCATTGTCAAAAGGTTGTTTGAAGCTAATATATAGGCTACTATAGCCCAGGTTCCATGGGTGTCATTTATTCATTCACATGTTCGCAGGTTGTTTTCTGGACTGATAAGCCCGACTGGTGCTGGTTTGTTATGAGAGAAAAACATTGTTGGCTGGCTGATAAGCCCTAGCTGAAACCAACAAGCGAACAGGCTGATCGAGAAGAAAGAGGTGCTAGCTAAAGCTAGACACTGTTCCAACTGATTGTACATGTGCTCCACTCTTCCACCAGAAATTTCCTTTTTTTGGTCTTCTGGTTCTAGGTGTGTATCTGTCCTTTTACTGTCTGCAGCATCATTTCAGTGGGAATGCTGCGAAAGCTGCAGCTCAGCTCACCAAATCATGCACTCCTGAAGCAGAGTGGCTGATCCTTCTGTATCATTGTTCAAGTTGATGCAGAACGGCAAATGATACTGCCCGTATTTCGGTAGCATCTGTGTTTATTCAGGCAGGAACAAGACAGCATATATATGCACTCACGGCATGATAGTCAGGGCATGAAGTTTCGAGTCATAGTCAACCTGTTTTCATGTGTACGTTTCGACGAGATTTATTAGCTTTACCGTTAAGGTAGGCCGTCCATTTAAACCTATTAGGTAGAAAAACAGCTCCAAAACAGATACTAAAGCTCCAAACTTACAATTTATTTCGGACGACTCTTTAGAGCAAGGCAAAAACGCCATACGCATAACTGACATTCATCGTATGCATGAGCAGAAGATAGAAAATAATACAAGTAGCTTTGATATGATGTTTAACCAGTTTGTTGGTGAGATCTTGGTATGCCGTTTGTTTCGATATGCTTTACATTCCATCCGTCGATCTTATGATGGAGCACTATAACACGACAGATGGTGGATTCCGTGGGTAAGTACGGAAATTCTTACCGAACCAAAATCCGCACGACAATACCGCACTGTCAAGAAATTTGTGTTTTATCAATAATTCATTATAAACTTCGATATGGAGAAACTGATGTATTTTTGGCAGCCATTCTCACTAGATTATGCACACTTGTCATATAGCTATTCTGCTTAAGGTTGCTACATGCATCCTTCTTTTTCTCTCCCTTGAGATTGTCTCCAACGAGAAACTCATATGGGCACTCAAACCCAAAATAGGTGGTAAAGAGACCCAAAATCAGCCTTCAACAGAGTATCTATACATAAGACCTATTTTGGGTTGTCTGAGAGGCACCTATACAGGAGATCTGTTTTGATTGTCTGAGAGGCACAATCTAAATATGTGCATTATCTCTCTTGAAAAACTATTTACAGAAATGATTCTCTTTTTTGTCTTATTATTGAAGAAGATATCGAATAGGTATTGAATTATTTGCCTATAGCGCTACCCAAAAAATGAATAGGTCTTATATTTTGGTGTGGTTGTTTGAGATATCATAGGAATCATGAATTCTGCACAACACATATCGCGCATTGCCGCCCTGCTCGTTCGGCTCGGCACTCAAAATGATTTCATCTTGGCATGGCAGAAGTGAAATATATGTGCAGGTATATGCCTGATGGGACCATGCTGGACAATCGCTGACGAGATTCTGAAATGATGTCAGTCACACAACACTTCAACAACAGTCGAGAGGTAGCTTTGAGAAAATTATGGGAATCGGAAACGTAGGACAAGATTGCTTCCATAGCAAGTAATCGATGATCACGACCAAGAAGTTAGAACTGTCCTGCACCTAACTAAAGAATCAATAATTGCTTGCTCAAAACAGGAATCAACATTGCCCTCTTACCCCCTCCAACCGAAAAACGTCGCTCCCTTTTTGCATTTAGCAGTTGAGAGTTTCTTCGAAAAGAAAAGCTATCAGCTGGCCACTGCAAAAAATATTTAGCCAAACGTTGATGGTATATAAACAATATCAACCGGGAGAATCGGACAACGGTGAGAAACCAGTCCTCAAAGAGCCCCTCTTTGATCCATGGCCACTTTGTCGATGGCTGTGGGCTACGACCCTGAATACCCACGGCAGATTACATGGGCTGCGTTGTCAGGAGCGGTCCAGCCCACAAGATGAAGACTTACGGTGCACGGTACTGCTCGGCGTGTACTGCAAGACGTCAAGGGAGATATCCTGAAGATACTACGAGATCTGTTAGGATATGCTTAATCCCGTGATTCCTGTAATCTATTATTACTTATCGGTTATCTCCTAGATCTAATCGACTTGTAACTCTACCCCAGCTAAACACACGTAATATCATACGATAGCCAATACAAATCAACAGATCACAGGAGTAGGATATTACGTCGCGCAGATGGCCCGAACCTGTCTAACTCTTGTGTCTCTATTGCCTTCTTGTTCTTGATTACGCGCACCTCTGCCGATCAATCTACCTTCGTGAGATACCTCTCGGAGGACCGCCGTCCAGATTTCATCGACAGTTGGCGCGCCAGGTGGGGGTGTGCGTGCTGTTTCTATGACGAACAAGATGGTATATTTTGCAGGCTCTTTGTCCTCTCCAAAGCCCGGCCAGATCTTTACGGTCGGATCGATCTCCTGGGTCATCAATGCTGACGGAGACAGAAAGATCATCGAGCCGATGCAGATCGATTCTGCGCCAACCACACCAACACCTGCAACGGCAGATCTGATCTCGGAACTGCCTCCGAGGTCGTCTTCACCAACAACTCGCCTCCTGCTCCCCCGCTACCCGAGGAAGCAGATCGGCAACGACGATCTGATCGCATCCATCGATCAAGTCGGCCAAAAGCTCGCTGACTGCCTCTCCCTCGCGGAATCGGCTCTGACCACTCTGATTCTGCGCCGACCACCCTCCGATTCTGATCTATCGGAAGCCAATTAGGAAACTCCAGGGGTTACGGCTACCATCCATCAGGATGGCCTAAGGGACAAATTCACCGACCAGATGAGAAACATCTATCCTCTCGCCGACCGATCACCGACCAGCTCTCGCCGACTGTCAATATGTTGCAAATTGGCCAACGTCCTGAAGAATCCCTCCACACCATCCTAGAGGAAAATCCAGACTCTGAGTCCCAGGGCTCTACGAAGATTGTCGCCGAAGCCGCCGCCGTCCAACCTCCTTTTCCACCCTTCCGTGAAGGTGGGATTTTTAATGTTAGCGTCAACAACCCTCCGCGAGATAGAGAAACCGATGAGGGCCGTGTAGCTCGTGTCAATAGAAACGCCAACCGTGCACAGCACCGGGCGAATGAGGACGCCATTGTGTTAGCTGAGGCTGCTCGCAACGGAGAACAACTCAACTCGCAAGGAAGGCCACGCCCGCTCCGCCGCAACCTCGACGACGAATTCATCCTTGTTGACGGCCACGATGTCTACAATACCCCAAGCGCCAACTTGGCCGTGGCCACTAACGAGCTCGCTCGGCTCGAACAAACGCCGGAGGTCGCCAAGGTCGCCGCAATTCTTAAAGCTATGCACTACCAGGTCAACGAGATCCGCCAGGATCAGAGACCTTCCTACTCGACAAGCTCGAATCGTCGATCCGTCGTGCCAAGATCCAATCGCCGCCCCGACAGAAGTCGTTTCGTCGACCAACATCGTGATGATGGACAACCCCTCCATGGGGAGCTAGGGGAAACCGTATCAACTACCATCGCCAACTCGACCAAGAAGTTGATCAAGATGTCCAAGCACACATCAACAACCTCCGGGATGCACGACGTCATATCGATGGGCGCCATTTCTCTCGGCATGAGGAGGAAGTACGCCGGCGTCAAGAATACGAGCAAGAATTCAGTAATCCGGATGCAGCCCTCCAGCCACTTAACGCCGGCAATGCTGCCGATCACGATGGTGATGATCCCAAAGGGCCCCATGCATTCACAAGAGCACTCCGAACACTCCAATGGCCCCGTGGTTTCAAAATCACCGGAGTCGAGCCCTATGAGGGGCGGATGAACCCCACACAGTGGCTACAAGCTTATGCCACCATTGTGTGTGCCGTTGGGGGAGATACCAGCGTCATGGCGAACTATCTTCCCATCATGCTCATGCCGACCGCAATGAACTAGCTCACAAGCCTCATGCCAGATTCCATCGAATCTTGGGAACAGTTGAATAAGGTCTTCACCGACAATTACATGGCTACGTGTACTCGGCTGGGCACCAAGCACGATTTGAATCGTATTTATCAGAAACCGTCCGAGCTTCTCCGTAGCTACATCAGACGATTTTCTGAGATGAGGAATTATATTCCCAACATCACGGAAGTAGAAGTCATCATCGCCTTTGTCAGAGGACTCCATCACCGTGACCTCCACTCCAAATTCAATCATAAGCCGCCAAAGGGGATTGGCGAGATGATCATGACCGCCGATCAATACGCCGATGCTGAAGAGGCCAAAGTTTGCTTCAACGAGGATGCAGGCACTCACCGCCCAACTCGCCGCAGCAACGAGTGCCTCGACGAACGACGCCACAGTGACCGCCGCTACGACGACCGCGGCCACCATCAGGACAGTGGCCACGATCGGCCGAAAGGGTCTAAAGCTAATCAGTATCGCCGCCACCGACCAGACAACATCGTCACCACCATGGACGAACCTCACGCCAAACATAACTACGATGAGCAGTACAAGAAAATCCTCGAAGGTCCATCCCCCTCCACAAGAACAGCAAGCACAAGATGAAGGACTG